AGTGGGCGGAGCTTGAGCATAAGCGACCTCAAAGCCCACCCCCACAATGACACGCTTCCTCCAACAAGGCCACAACCACTCCAACAAGGCCACACCTCCTAGTAGTGCCACTCATATAGGCTAAGCATTCAAACACCTGAGTCTGTGTGGGTCATTCCTATTCAAACCACCACATTCCACTCCCTGGTCCCCATGGATTTGTAGCCATAACATAATGCAAAATGGATTTAGTCTAACTTCACAGTACTAGCTATTTGTGTGTGTGTGTGTGTGTGTGTGTGTCAACTTGACACAAGCTAGCGACATCACAGAGACTCATCTACGGAAGCAAGCCAGTAAGCAGCACTCCTCCACGGCCTCTGCATCAGCTCCTGCCTCCAGGTTCCCGCCCTGCTTGAGTTCCTGTCCTGACTCCCTCCAGTGATGGGCTGTGATCTGGAAGTGTAAGCTGAATAAACCCTTTCCTCCCCAATTTGCTTTTTGGTCATGGTGTTTCCTCGAAGAAGGAAAACCCTGATTGAGACAGGGTGTGATGCAGATGTTCCATTTAGAGCTGAACACTCCACAGTCTGTCAAAATTCAAGGGGCTGTGCTTATATCTAGGCCCTCAGTTCTATTCTGTTGATCAGTGATCTATTTTTATGCTAGTATCATGCTTTTAAAGAAAATAACTATACCTCTGTAGTATAACTTAGAACCAGGCATTATGATGCCTAGCGGTGTTTTTATAGTTTAGTATTGTTTGGACTACCCTGGGTCTTTTTGTGCTTCCATATGAATTTTGAGATTATTTTTGGCAGGTCATATGTTTCTAGGAATTAATCTATTAGCTTTAGATTTGAAAACACAGAAAGAAGGAGCCACAGGAATATTGTACTTATTTATTATTTTGTGTGATGTGGTGTGTGTGTTGTGTGTGTGTGCATGCATGAATGCATACAGATACATGCAGGTGTGGGGGTCAGAGGACAATTTCCTTGATTTACCTCTTCCGCTGTGGGTTTTAGGGATCAAACTCAGATAATCAAGCTTGGGCAGTAAATGCCTTTACCTGCTGAGCCATCTCACCAGTCATTCCAAGAGCATTTCTTTATGTATATCCTACATTCCTCTGTGTATACTTATGTTCTTACATATATGTTTACACACATATACATACAGTGTATATATATATACTCACACACACGTGTGTGTGAGTGTGCTACATATTCTTTGGGTTTCAATTTGAATGTCCCTGTAAGGTTTTGAAGAACGTGTTTTGAACACTTGGCCTCCAGCTTGGGACCCTATTTTGAAGGCTGTGGACCCCCAGGAATCAGGGTGTGGCTGGAGAGAGTTGGTCTCTAGGGCCAAGCTGTGCTGGATACTTTTAAGGCAACTTGACACAAGCCAATATCATCTGAAATTGAGGGAATCTCAATGGAGAAAAGAACTCCATAAGATGGGGCTGTAGGCAAGCCTGTAGGACATTTTCTCTTCTTTTTTTTTTTCTTCACAATTTATTAATTTACTTAATTAGCGATTGTTGGCGGAGGGCCCAGCCACTGTGGGTGGTGCCAACCCTGGGCTGGTTGTCCTGGGTTCTGTAAGAAAGCCAGGCTGAGTGAGCCGTGAGGAGCAGGTCAGTAAGCAGCAGCCCTTTATGGCCTTGGCAGCAGCTCCTGCCTTTAGGTTCCTGCCTCTGACTTCCTTCAGTGACAGAGTATGATGGGAAGTGTAAGTTACTGTGGTCATGGCTTTGCATCACAGCAGTAGAAAGCCTAAGTCAGACACAGGTCCTGGAAGGCCCCTGGTTTTGTTCGGGCTCTCTCTGCTGTCTGATCTGCTGCCAAATGAGGACTTTTCATCACGTGTTCCTGCTGCCGGGGGTGGAGCATCTTGCCTTTCACGCCAGAATGGACTGAAAGGCTCCTAAAGTGTGACAAAAATGAGTCTTCTCTTAAAGCAATACCTCTCTCAAAGTGATACCAAAGTAACATATCTAACTGTGAATCTCTGTATCCATCTCTGCATCTCTCTCTCTCCAGAAGCAGATGTGAAAAGTTTAGGGAAACATCTACAACCAGCATCACATACCCATACAATGCAATAATCGTTCAGGCTGATTAGTATTGGTGAGGACACAAAACAACTGGCATCCTCACACACAGCCAGTTTGGGATGACCATTATAAAGGAGACTCAACATTTCCCTTTCTTTCCTTATTTGCCTTTTTTAATGCTTTTCTGATTCTGGGGATTGGACCTATGGTCGTCCACATGCTAGCCAAGTGCTCTGCCGTGAACTCTAGTTTCAACACCTTTCTACCTTTTATCACTTTTTATTTTTGAGACAGGGTCTCACTAAGTTTATCAGATGGTTTGAGGTTTTTTCTGTAACTCAGGCAGGTCTTAACTTGTGGTCCTTCTGCCTCAGACCTCTGAGTAGTTAGTATGACAGGCCCATGCCACTTATTTTGGCTCTGTTTTCTATTTTGGTGGCGCTGGGATTGAATCCAGGGCTTTGTACATGCTGGGCAAGCTCTCTACCAGTGAGCTGACCTCTAGCCCTGCAATTTCTCTAAAGGTTCAACATTCTTTCCACATGATACAGCGATTCATCTTTAGGTCTAAACTCTATAAATTTGAAAATATGTGATCATATGAAGTCATGTGTATAAATATCCACAAAGCTTTATTAAAAGCCAAACATGTTAACACACGTGCAGGCAAAACATCCATACACATAAAATAGATAAGTCCTGAAAAGTAGCCAGATCTGGAGGGCTAGAGTAAAGCTTGCTGAACAAGTATCTAGGTTCTGGGTTTGGATCCATTGCACCCATGTATAAGCTAGTCACAAGCCAGGTATGGTGGTATGCACCTGTAGCCTCAGTACTGAGAAGTAGGGACAGGCAAATCCCGGTGCTAGTGTGATAGCCAGTTTAGGTAAAACTGTGACACCTAGGTTCAGTCCAAGATCCAAGTGGAGAAATAATTGAGAAAGACACCCTCACATCAGTCTTGGGTCTTATTAACTCATGCCTTCAAGGGCTAGTACACATGCTCAGAGGTATATAGGGGTGGTGGTGGGATGGGATGGGAATTAGTCAAACAAGGATGGAGGTGTGTGTGTGTGGGGAAGGAATATTTAGGGACAACAGTGTGGTGACACAGTTATCTACATGGATGCCCTGGCAAGTGAGATATGGTCAGGTGGTTTCGAGGTTGCAGGGGGGCTGTCAATGGCAGGAAGACACCTCCCTGAATAAACAGACCCCCATGGAGCCAGAGGGTAGGAACCTTCTTTGTTCCTTGACGAGTCTGGATCTTTTGTTTCCCACCACAATTCCACATGCTAAAAGGGTCATCTATGAGATCACTCTTTCAGTAGATGTGCAATGGTCATGTAAGTGTGGCCCTCATGGTGTCTGCAGACCAAACCACACTGGTGTTACAGCAGAAGACAGACCACAAGGAGCCTGCCTGGGCCTCTCCACACTCCCCTACCTGTAGGGTGGTTCAGGGACCAGCATCTGTGTGCAAAGCTAGTGCTGCATCTCACAAGGGAATCCAGTCACCACTTCTGACAGAAACCGAAGAGAATGGATTTCCATATTTATTTATTTGGAGTCAACCTTTTGATATGTCATGAGACTGACCTGGGATGGCGAGCTTCCTGCCTAGCTTTCTTAGTGAAAGGGGTACAGCTACAGGGTAGGCCATACTGAAAATGGAGGGTAGATTACTTTAAATGCAATGGTAGATAGCGTTCAGTCTTTAGCGACAGTAGCCAAGGCCTGGAGCCTTTATATTTTCCATAATTAGTGACTACGGTGACTGAAACATGGAAGCTCTGAGTTTTAAAGTCTTAAAGTTTATTCTCTGCCCCATTTTAATGTACAAACCAAATCTCCACTGTTACACCATTAAGAGGGGTGTCTTAGTTAGAGTTACCATTGCTTTGACAAAACACCACGACCAAAGCAACTTGGGGAGGAAAGTTTATTTGGCTCACACTTCTACATCACTATTCATCATCAAAGGAAGTCAGGGCAGGAACTCAAACAGGACAGGGATCCGGAGGCAGGATCTGATGCAGAGGCCAGCCAAGCAAGCACTGGCTTGCTCCTCATGGCTTGCTCAATCTGCTTTCTTATAGAACCCGGGACCACCAGCCCAAGGATGGCGCTATGTACAATGGGGTAGGCCCTTCTCCATTAATCACTATTTAAGAAAATACCCTCCAGCAGGACATTCTGGAGGCATTTTCTCACTTGAGATTTCCTCCTTGCTGGGCAGTGTGGCACGCATTTTTAATCGCAGAGGCAGGTGGATTTCTGAGTTTGAGGCCAGCCTGGTCTATAGCCTGAGTTCTAGAAGATCCAGGGCTACACAGAGAAACCCTGTCTTGAAAAACAAAACCAAGAGAGAGTGAGAGAGAGAGAGAGAGAGAGAGAGAGAGAGAGAGCAAAACTAGCCGGCACAGAGAAGTGTATGTGTGAGAAGTGTATTTTGCCCTACCATGAGGGCAAAATCCTCAGGAATGGAATTGGTGCTATGACTTCCAATTAGATAATGCACGTCCCGTCAGGGTTCATGTACCAGAGAGACATTATTGCCATCATGGAAATGCTGAGGAGTGATGGAATCTCTATGAAGTGAGGCCTAGCAGGATGTGATTTGGTCCTTGATTCACTGCTCTTGACAGGGATTTGTGCAGTCCCAGTGAATTCTCGGGGTCAGGCTGTTAAACAGCAGGGGTAGCCCACGTGTTTCTCTCCTACTTGGCCATTTCCCTTTCTGCCCTCTGCTATGTTGTGAGGTAGCCTAATATGATTTCACCAGTGTCCCACTAGGCGAGGGTATCTAATCATTGAGTTTTATCCCTTAAAACTGAGTTTAAGGAAAGCTGTTCTTAAAAAAAAATCATTTGTTGGTTTTCACGTGTATTTGTGTGTGTGTGTGTGTGTGTGTGTGTGTGTGTGTGTGTGTGTGTGTGTGTG